TTCAGTGAAAACACTTGCTTTAACCATTTAAAGAGCTTAACAGATAATAATATAATTCTCTGTAGGATGTGGAAATTCCAATAGAATAGGAGCTTTGAAAAGTATATTTGTGATTAACTAACCTTGTAGTTTGGAATGAAAGAGGTAAAGCAGGTGCAAACTAACATGCAAATATTTTATTATGGAATAGTATGAGTTTTTTCTCTTTAGAAAGGAATTGCAAATTCTACACTGATATATTTGGGTTTATAACTGTGATTAGATTTAGCCTTAAAATGGAGTGGTAGATACAATTTAGAAGAGTCCAATTTATTAAACTGGTTAAACTTGTCTCTAACAATGGCAAAATATTTGTACTGATAGTGATTAATTCACCATTCCACTAACTGGGACCTGATGAGAAAGTAGGTCAACGTGAGCTAAGACCTCATCTTCCTCCCGGACATGACCCTCACACCAATATCAAATCTCATACACCTCTCTCTCTCTCTCCACACACACACACACACACACACACACACACACACACACACACACACTAGCTAAGAGCCTGGGAGGATACGAGACAGGGAAAATACACGCCTGCTCAGAAAGAGAGTTGCAGGAGATGGCGAGGGCACGACTACTGAAGATCGGCGTCTTGGCAACGCCTAGTTTTATATCAAACTTGTTCAAATGATACACAAGTTGTTTCTCCTGCTCTCCACGGAACAGGAAAAATGTAGATTGGGGAACTGAGAGTTGGATGACTAAATCATCTTTCTCTTTGAACAACAACTAGTTAATAACCCTGTTTTTCTTAGTGACTTCGGTAAAGAGATCTTATTTTGGTTGAAACAGGAGTTGGCTAGAGACATTCAAAATGAATTGTCTGTATTTTCACTATCGACCAATTCCTGAAACAATCTCTCATTATTTATGAAAAAGCATGAATAGAATCAAATTTTACAATCTGGTTGAGGCAATATTTTAACTATCACCAATGGAGAAGAGCTAGTGGACTATTCCATATCTTTGTTAATGTTATCACATTATTGTTATTATTATTACTATAGGCTGGTAAATCAATCCAAGGGATGTTCTGTAGACCAGCATCATCACCATCACCTGAGAGCTTCTTAGAAATGCAACTTCTACCTCATCTCTACAAAAAATAGAAAAATTATAAATTGTAGCCTGTAGTACTAGCTACTCAGGAGGCTGAGGCGGGAGGATCACTTGAGCCCAGAAGTCTTAGGTGGCAGTGAGCAAGAATGACACCACTGCACTCTAGCCTGGGCAACGGAGCTAGACCTTATCAACGCACCCCCCGCCAAAAAAAGAAACGTAAATATGTAAATCAACAGACACACACTAGACCTACTGAAACAGAAACGTCAGAGGTCTGGCTCAAAAATCTGTGTTTCAGCAGGCTCTCTGGGTGATCCCTAGGTACTGTAAAGTTTGAGAAGCACTACTTTGGACAGTGAGGGGAGGCACTCAAAGAAGGTAAGTGTGCAAAGTAAGCAAACTTTATGATTTCTTCTTACTACTGAAGATAAGTTAAAAATTACTCAGAAACCAAATGAATAAATTCTTGGTCTCCAGAGAAGACATAATCCTGTTGGAGAACAACCTTAGGGAGATAAGAACAGTCACTCCCAGATTGACATTTCTCCTAAACAAGGTGGGAGGTGGGGCACAGGGTGGGGGGCTCACATTCACTGCATTACAGGGTTCCAAACCCTAATACAAATGCATTACTATGTTCAAGACAAGTTTTGCATTATCAACACTACTGCTGCCCTCCTTTGGAATGAATATTTAGAGATAAATATCACAATAATTGCTACATCTCTGGCCTAAGTTGCTATTACTGTATACATTTATGATATACTTATTTTACTTCACAAGTTTTTTTCAACACATTCAACCTGCAGACTTCACTCACCATTTGCAGACAAGGCAATTGTGGTTCCAAGAAGGAAGTTTTATGTATACACTAAGTGTAATTTTTGCTTGTAAATGGTGCATTCCAACTTAGGAGTTAATGACTAAAGAGTAATGGATCATAGAACCTGAGCTGTAGAAATAGCGAGCCCTTCCCCTGGGAACAGAGCGAGCAAGTCCCCAGGCAGCCAGAAAGTAAACTTAGGCCAATCCAGCAGAAACATTTGCTTTCTGAATAATATTACCCAGAAAGATATTGGGAAAAATAACAAAAAATAAAATTCCTAAAATATTATGTTTCTTGTTGTAGCAATATAATAAAATCAGGGGAGCTATTATCATCCTATCATTTTAACCCTCAGAGCCTGAG